CAGATACGAGAACTCACTGAGCGCTCAGTGAGCGATTATAGTACTGAATGCATCCATTAATTCCGACTGGAATTCATTCCAAACATTTCCATAATAAGTGTGTTGACCTTCTTACTTTTTTGGATTTTCCCTTCATCTTTCACTTCGTTAAATTAAAAAGAATATTTCACGTTCCGTTCAGGTATTTCGTATGTTTATGTTTGCGCCAAAAAACGAAGTAACTTAACGAATCCGATTGGCTATGCTATATTGCAATTGCCTTTTAAAATGAAGCATGATCAGCGCTTGCAACTTAAGAAAAAAAATTCGTAAAGTCGATGATAGTGATGATCAGTGATGATCGATGGTAACTAGTCAGACCTGTCAAGTCAGACTAGTGCATAATTGTAAATTTCATGTTGTACATTGAATATTGAGGATTGCGATTATTTTTATAATAAAATTGCTATCTGAAATTGTGAGAAAAAATTTTTTAAAATGGGAAAGGGATTTAATAATTACATGTGTAAAAAGTTTTTTCATCCGGCGTCACGAGACAATTTGAAGCGAGTACGAATATGTGGTCTAATCTTTCTTTGATAACAGAATATTTTAAATTCTTTTATGTCATATATTTGAAAGGAAAACCTTTGAAACATACTCTTGTTTAAATGTATATTGTTGTATCAGGTATGGATGGCGGAACAACAAGCAGAGGCTTACAAGAAGAAGCAGGAGGAGCTGCGAGTGCAGTATGAGAAGGAGCAAGATCTTCATAATAACAAGTAATTAGCTCAAAGATGTTATATAACGAGCAGTTTTGTTCCTAATGCAAAGTTTTTTCAGAGCGCTACTCAGCAAAGAAAGTAAGGATAAACTCAGTGTCAATTTTATGTATGAACCACCTCCTGGAGCAAAAAAAGAACGGGAGAAGGAAGATAACGAGCCTGAATACAAGTTTGAATGGCAGCGGAAATACAATGCTCCAAGAGAAAGCTACTGCAAAGGGGATAGCGAAATTCGAGATCAACCCTTTGGTATACAAGTGAGGAATGTGCGATGTATCAAATGTCATAAATGGGGACATATAAATACAGGTATCTTAAAATTTTATCCAGTAAGATACAAATATGTTTAAACAAATATTGATAATAAAATATTTTTATAATTTTTATAATATAACTCTAATAATAAAAATAGCCAAAGAGATGAGCTTATAATATAGTGTTAATAGTAATAAAACTTACTGTGTTACAAGGCACATTAAATTTTATTACTCTTAAAATTTCAAGTGAAACTAGTTTTGACTCTAAAAAATCTTGATTATACTAAAAATAAATTAATCTATCTGCAATGCTAAATCTGAATCTATCTCACAATATTGAATTTATCAAAGCCCTTAGTTGATAGCTTTCAATATATCCTATTCAATAAAGAACATAATAATCTTAATTATCCTGAAATCAAGCGAATCATCATGATTTTTCATAATCAACATTAACTTTAACAAGAATGTACTATATTACAATTTTTACATTAGGATATTAGATATTGCCAACAGCTAAGAACAAAATGAAAAATATTTTCAGATAAGGAATGCCCATTGTACAGTCAAGCAATGAGCGTTGTAATGGCAAATAATTCACAGACGCCATCTGCCCCAGACACTATGACTCTCGTGCAACAAATGCGAGAGGATGGTCTAGCTCTGAAAAAGTAAATAAATACATGTGTTATTTTCATATGTGTTGTATTATATAATATTTAAATAAGTTTTGTTAAATAAATTATATTAAAAATGAATTAATATTGGTGTATATGAATGCTTTATGCTATTGACTTTTTATATTATAGATCTGCATTGGATGCACAACAACATTTACGAGTTCCAGAACATGAACATCTTATGGTCTCTGAAGATGAGGAACAGTCAGAATTATTATTTCTAAAATCTCTGTCAAAGAAAGAAAAGAAAAGATTATTATTGTAAGTTAATTCAATTACGTAATGTTGTAATATAGTCCTCTTACTATTGATAAAGTATATTCGAAAACTGATGATTAAATAAAAGAATTTACTCTTATAATTACAGGAAATTACAGCTTTTAGAAAGGAAAAAACGTAAAAAAGAAAAAAGAAGATTGAAAAAAATAAAAAACAATAAGAAGCATAGTAATAATAGTAGTTATAGCAGCAGCAACAGCAGCAGCAGTAGTACCAGTAGTAGTAGTAGTAGTAGTAGTAGTAGTAGTAATAGCAGTGGTAGCGATAGTAACAGTAGCAGCAACATTGATTCGGAAAATTTCCATTCCAAGAAGGACAAAAAAAGAAGGAAAAAAGTGGACTTTAAAGAAGAGAGCATTTACAAGATTTACAAACATAAAAGGAAACGAAGTTGTGACAAGCACAACTACGTGTATAAGAAGATGAATGGCCATGCTAAACATGATAAAAATAAGGATTGTCATAATAGAAAAAGAAAAATTAAATATAGAAAAAAGGATAAGTCCCATTCAAAACACAATAAAATATATAGAAAGCATCCTAATTAATCACTTTTAAATTAATCACGATACTCGTTAACTGTAGATGTATCATTTATGAAATTAATAATAAAAAGAAACGTTTATTGCTTAATGCATTTTACAATATAATTTTATATTGTAATTTTGTATTCCTTTTCATTATTACGGATTATTACGGATAAATATGAATATAAATCATTAATATATATCAATGATATGTATATATCATCAATGATACGTGCATATTAATAGAATAACTTGAATCAATTACAGTAATTTATTCAATGACAATGAAACATTTCTAATAACAATTTGTAATACAAACATTAATTATATGTTTTATTATAATAGCATGCACTTTATTACAAATCAATGAAGCACTTTAATATATTGGTATTTTAGTTGCGCGATACACACGCACGCACGCACATACACACACACACATATATATGTATATAGGCATATGCACACATGTGTATACATGTGTATGTATATATGTGTATATATGTATATTACAAATATTAGCTAGATTATTTTCTTATTTTTTTATACAGCACGCTTTCAAATAAATCATAGATAATATGTGTATAAGTTTTTCTCACTCTATTTCGTTTCTAACACGGCTAGTAATAATCCGTTCTTACATATACATTTTTACATATATAATGTACGAATGTATATTATATACGTAACTAGCCACGTTAGATTTTGAACACTTGGGCACTTTGAAATCTGCGTGATTATTCCTCTTGCAAATGGATTACACTTTCAATGTAATACAATACTATAACTTCGGGAAGTAATCGGATTG